TTCCCCGGGCGCCGCGGCGGCTTTCGGAGGCAGCTGCGAAATGGGCTTTCCCATCCTGCGCGGCTTTGATATTAATAAACCAACACGCGTTTCTGCTCAATGCCAAGGGAAAAGAGGGAAAAAAAAAAAAAACCCCTTGCTATATATTCGTCTTCCGCAGAAGATGATTGACGCGCACCAGACTCCAAGCTGCTCCGCTGCTGCCAAACGCTTCAAAACAGGCGGCGTGCAAGAGGATCCCATCCCCGGGGAACAGCGCTGGGACCCGCCAGGGACACCAGGGTCCCAGGGACACGGCGAGGGAAGGACAGGGCTGTGCCGGGCTCCAGGACTCGGGAATGCTGCCCCTGGGGAGCTCTCCCATGGAAAGCGCCAGCTTCGCTCCCTCCCTCCCCGGCGCTCTCTTTCTGCCTCATCCTTCTCTTTCAATTAGTAACAAATGATTCCTAATTACTCTCATTAGTGCCCGCGCTGATTCCAATGCCTGATTTACCAATTACGCCACGGAGATGGGAGAAGGGTCCTCGGGGGCCCTCTTCCCTCCCTGTTCCCGGCAGCCGGGCTCCTACCTGGTACTTCCCGTCGGCTCCGAGCAGCTCTCCCTCGCGGAGCCAGGTGACGATGGGCTTGGGGTTCCCGAACGCCATGCAGGTCAGCGTGACGCTGCTGCCCTCCTTGGCCTCCACGTACTGCGGCGGCGTCTCCGTGAACGTGGGGGGAGCTGCGGGGACGGGGACGGCGGCGTGAGCGCCCCCCCATCCCGGCCCGCGCGCTCCCGAGGCGCGGGGAGAGCCCGAGCGCTGCTAAAAATAGAGGCGCCTCGATGCGGAGAGCGAGAAGAAGCGCTAATTAGCTGAACGCGCAGCGCTAATAACGCGAGGAAGCCATCCGAGCAGGCCTGAATGTCAGGAAAATAAAGATTTGACTTGCTGATGGTTGTCAGCTCCAGCCCCATTTCTTAATGACCATCCATTAAGCTAACTACACCAGGCTACACTACAGAATTGCGGATGCACTGGGCCTGGTTTGTGCTCGTTGGGGTTTTTGGGCGCCCCGCTCACGTCCGGCCTCTCTGCACGCCGCATCCCCACGTTCCCGTCCCGCCGCGCGCGGTCCTCACGCACCGTTGACGGTGAGGTGCACCCAGCTGCCGTTGTGGAAGGTGTCGTACTGCTGGTCCAGCATGAGCACCTTGCACTCGTACCAGCCCTGGTCCTCGGAGCGCACCTGCTCAATGCGCAGCGACGCCTTGTCGTGGAGGCTGGCCCGGCCTGCGGGGAGAGCGCGCGTCCAGGAGGCGCCTTCCACCCCGGCGCGGCGCAAATCCCCGTTTCCAGCACCCCGGAGCGCGAGCGCCGCTCCCGG